TACTGTGTCTCTCTGCTCAGCAGACCATTCAGGACCCGGTTTTATCCTCACAGCCACACATACCCCAGGGGCATATTTTTTATTCCTGTTTAACAGATGAGGAAATTGAGGTTCAGAAACACAATTAATAGGGTTTATACATGCTGTTGTGCTACTTGAAGAACCACCCATTTCAGCCCTCTGTCTGGGCTCAGGGCTGTCCAGATCTCAGGGAGTCTAACACAGGTGCCACCAAGTTCACACACGTGCAGGCCACCATCATCTCAGGAGGCTTTAAGGTGTGTGTCCCTCAGGCAAGGAACTAGCCTCTTGGGTAGGACAGGTACTCATGAATAGGAGAACTCCATGCAAAAACTCAGAGGTGGCTTTTTCCTTTTACAGATTTACTGTAGTATTTAGGAAAGTCATGATGGCTAGTCTCTGCCACAGCTCAGTTGAATGGCCTCAGTTGTGTGAGCATCTATTTTGTTCCTATTCAAAAATTTACACATTTTCTTAAGTTTCCATACATACAAATGGGTGTCATCTGTACCCTATGTTTTAACACCTAAGTAGAGGAAAGGATTAATTTTCTAGTCACAAAAGAGTCACACAAGGATGACTGAATCTTCTAACTGTGGTATTCCATCCGCCTGGAAGCTCCTGGCTACCAAATGCCCTCACTCTGTATCAGAAGAGGGAGGTGGTAAAGAACACCCTTTGGTGTCAGGCAGATCTGATACCGGGTGCTGCCACTGATCAGTTTCATGGACTTACACAGCTTAATTTCTTCCTTTACGTCTTTGTTTCCTCAGTCATAATATGGGGGCAAGACGCTCCAATGAGTACTATCCTACCTTTTGTGGGGAGTCAGGGGGTTAGGCCATTGCTTGCTTTACCTGCTGCTTTGGTAGTTGGGGTAATTAATAGTGGCTCTCCCTCCCCTTTTCTGGGAAGAGGTCTCTTAACAGGTCTCAGGAAGGCAATAGGGAAGCATTTGACAGGCTTTGTGGTTCTAACAGCTCAAGCAGGTACTCTGAGTTATTTACCGTAACTCATTAAGTTTAATGTTCATTTTACTTCCTACTTTTAAAGCATTTTTTCTCTCCTTGCAGTCTGAAGAACTGGGTGTCATGACTGATTATTATTCTTATTACAGACTTAATGGTTTCAAATTCTAGATGATTATCTCTTTTATCTTAGCTACTTGAGAAAGTTTTGCCCCCATGGAGGACACCAATGAATTCAACCAATGCTCACTGAGCACATCCTGGTAGGTATGTTGCTGAGCACTGGGCGGATGACTGCAAAGTAAAGTGAAACAGGGCCTCTGCCTCCAGCAGTTCACCATCTAGTTCCCAGTGTGGTCCCCAGACTAGCAGAGTCAGCATCATCCAGGGACTTAGAAATGTAAACGCTCAGGCCCCTCCCCAAACATACTGAGTCAGAAACCGGGCTTTACCCCCAGCTGCCTGTGTTTGAAAAAGCCAGCTTCAAAGATCATCCTCATCAAATGTCCAAATAACAAACATGTTAACTTTTTGAGGTAAATCTAAAAAGTGTCATTTGTCCTTCCAGGAAATAGAAGCTCGTAGGCCAAAGGCCCATGAATTGTTGGTGGAGGAATTAAAACCAGAATTCAGGCCTCCTCACCCATCTACTGCTGCCCCCTATGGCCAGTGTCCTATTTCTCCTCTGATGCTTTAATCTCTAAATTAATGGGGAGCCCCAAGTATTTATTACCAACCCCTAGTGCAACTCTTGGTTTTCAAAGACAGCAGAAAAATGGAGAAACTACTCTCTTTGAAAATAAGGACCACAACGTAAGTTTAAATCTGATCTGTCGAAACCACCCAGTAAACTAACAGTAATTTCCCAAATCTTTAATCCATCTCCAAGTTTCATTTACAAGACTTGAGAATTTGAAGGGGAGGGGAGAAGGATAAAAATGAATAATGTGATCAGAATAAAATCTGGAAGAATATACAGTATGCAGAAATGTCAGTTGTGGTTCACTTGCCATTGCCATGGGAGAATTACAAATGATTTTTTCTTTGTATTTTCCTGAATTTTTCCCAATTGTTATATATTACTTTTGTAATCAAGAAAAAAGTGAAGCTGGTTTATGAAGTGTTGCATCCATATCAGTCAACAGGAAGGTTTGTTATTCTATTTCTCTCTCTACAGCAAGATAGTGTCTGTGTGTAGTAATTATTTATATCATGCCATATGTTACAATGAAGATGAAACTCAGTAAATATATTCCTTCCAGCTGGCACTAAAAATGAAGAGGTTAAATGCTTTCCTAGGTTCAAAGCACTACAAATTAAAACAAGCTGACTGTGAAGCTAAAGGAAAAATGTATCCCAGTACTGAGATATGAGAACATCTCTTTTGAAAAACATTACTGTGACACATAGCTCTGTACTCTTATATTCCTGATGTTTAACCCCTGGCAGAAAACAGAATGTTAAGCAATTCCTGGAGAATCTCAGGAGTTCAGGGGATAAAATATATGGGAGAATACCAGAGAAATAAACAGAATGATTTGACTTTCACATAAAATTTCATTCCTGTGGAAAATAAGAAATCCAAAACTGCTGGCAAATTTCATTGTCCTAAATATCATTAAAATTTGTTTTCTTTCTCAAGAAGAGTTTGCTCATTTAAAAAAATATCATGTTGGTTATGTTATTCCACAAATTGAAAATAGATAAATAAAAGGACTGTCTCATTGAAAGATATTTCTGCCACAAAACTGCTGTTGTAGTGTTTCACTTGATAAGACAAATTTGTCACTTGAAGAAAAATTAGCATTGTTTTACTGAAACTCTCAGCAATATAAATTCAGTGAATGGTAATTGAAGTCTCTTAAAGAAGACAGGGAAGTAAAGAAGCAATTAATGATTACGGAGAAGGAAACATCAATGACAACCTACTTTATCAAAATACTTCACAATAGCTGACATTTGTAGAATTTACACACACTTTCAAGAAAGGACAAATTATGGGAGGGGATAAATAAGTATTTATTATTTATACTTATATATCTTACAAAGGTGTATCTCCAAATTGCCCTGAGTTCTTTACTTTCTTTCACAGGGCAATCCCACCCACTGTAAAGGTAGTAAATTAGTAAGAAGAATAAATAACATAAAAGGATGTGCAACTCAGGCAAGTTTCTCACCAACCCCCAGTTCCCACCCCTTATAACTACACATCTGCCTATGAAAAATGATGTACAAAAGCCTTCCTGTTAACATATTAAGCTAAAACTAAGTTTCCTTTCAGCCTAACACTTTCTGACAGAACACACACAAACTTAACAGCTCAGCCTCAACTCCATCCGCATACCTGGAAGCTCCATGTTCATTCTTTCACTTCTCATTCCCCTCTGCTGTAGCAAAGGGTCCAATGTTAGGTTTTCACTTAATACTGCTTATTTTTGCAGGTTTGCTTTGGGGCTGCTAAAAGGTATTGATTAGTAACTACCTGCAGATACAGCTTCTACGCATTGGTAAATGCTGAGGAAACAATTCCAAGCCAACAAGAGTCAAAATATCTTCAATTAATAGCATAGAAATGCAACTCCTCTCAACGAGAAAGAAATAACGTTCTACTCCATTAATTTAAAAAAATTACAGTATCTTTCATTCTGAGCAAAATTAAATTTTCTGGGTCACTTTCCTTGTCTCACTGGCTACTTTTTACGTAGCCTGACAGTGACTGTAAACACCGTCTCCTCACTCAACCAGCTTAGCTGTCACTCCCTCAGAGGGAGCACCTACCGTTCCCGTTTCCTGCTGCAGTTCCCAAACAGACCCCCACCCACACCTTGCCCTGCCCTCCACATCTCACCATGCACTTTCTTCTTTTCCAAACCACAAACGGGTGAGCTTACTGAGAGAAAAAGTTAATGAACGTCTGCTTTTGAGGGAAAGCTGCCCTACCTGCGATCACAGAATCGGAAGACGGGAAGTACTAAAGGTACGTACGTACCCTGTGCTCGCTAGTGCAGTCGGTGAGCGCTTCACACCAGAAACCCGGGAACACGATTTACATGCAGACCTGTACCCATCCCACACAAGTCCACACGCCAGCTTGCCTAAGCACTTATGTAAGCTCGTGCCTCTACAGTCCCAACCTGCACACGCACACCGACACCTGTCACGCATCTGAAGTGGACAAGCATCCACACCCAAAAGATGAAATGAAATCAACATGTATGAATGAATGGGGTGACGTGGGGGGTGGGGGTGGGAAACACCGTTTTAAAATATCTTTTCCCCCTTTGTTTCTTGCCCATTTTTGTTACAACTATAATTACCTTAGCAACCAAAGAACTGCATGGACTCCCCCTCCGGCTTCTGAATTTCTCCTAAAGCCGAGCTTGCGCCAGGTTCATGATAAAGCTTGAGAAGCCCAGGGAACGAGGGACCCGCAGCCTCTTAGGGGCGGAGGGGACGTCTGGGTCCGTCTCCCGCTGCTCTCCAACGTCTCGCCTCCTCTTTACGAGTTTCCGTGGTGGCGGGCGCGGGGGCTCAGGGAGCGCAGGGCGAAGCTCGGGGCTGGCGGGGAGGCGCGGCGGGTCGCATGGTGCCAGGGCGCGGGGCGCTCGGGTGCCTCCAGCGCGCTCGGGGCGGGCCCCGGTCTCCGCGCTCCCTGGCTCTCGCCCTTCCCTGAGCGCCCCAGGCCGGGGGTTCCGCGGAGGTCAGTCCGCTCCCTCGACGCCCCCCGCTCCCGCGGCCGTGGGAACGCGGCGCCCGGTGGGAGCTCCCGCCGCAGAGAAGGGCTGAGCGCAGGAGCTGCCCCAACTCGCGAAGCCGCTCAGCTCCGGCGCACGCGAACCGCCGCAGCGGCGCCCGCTGTCGGGTGTGGAGCGCCGCTGCAGCCCCGCGCCGCGCGCACCTGGGCTCCGGCACCTGGGCCCCGGCAGGCCGGGCGGCGCGGCGAGGGCGGGGCGAGGGCGGGGCGGGGCCGAGGCACCTGCGCGCGTCCCCAGGGCGCTGCCGCAGGCTCACCTGCTCCCAACGCGGCGAGAAGTGCAGACGGCGTTGTGCCCGAGGAACGGAACACCAAGAATTCCTGGCACTTCAGCTGCCGCCGAGAAAATTGGCAGACTGGCCCGGCGGTGCGTTGCCTCCTGCCGTCAGGACTGAGAGCTGACTGCTTCTGGAAACTTTAGAGGAGTCAGGGTTGTCTTAGGGATTCCTGGTCTGGAGTGATTTGCCCGGTAGCTTTTTAATCTCTCGCTGACGTGTAGCTGGCGCCCTCTAAATTAAAACAAGCCACCACGTTCGTCAGGGATACTGTTTCTAACCTCCTCATTTTTATTGATTCAACATTTACACCACCTGCTGTGTTCTGGAGTATTTTATGATTAATCTTATCTGGAACATCACAAAAGAACTTTAAAGGAAAATTAACCACTATTTTCTTGGGGAAGGAAGAAAAAAAGTAAGAAAGTGTGAAAGAGTCACTTGAAACACAGCATTCTTTAAATGTGGGAGCTTTGAAATTTGATGTTTGGTTAACGAATGATTCAGGAAGCTGCTCGTAGGAATACAAAAAGATTGTTGGTGCTGGTGGTAACCATGGGATTGGTGTGCAGGATCAATGTTACTGATATCAAGAAAAAATTCAAAAGTTATTCTCGAATTTTATTGTGTCACCAGAAACAAACAAACAAACTTGAAATAAAATACCTGAAGTCTTCTGAGGATTGATGCCCTGGTCTCTCTTCATCCAGGTAGGTCCAAAAATTGACATTTAAGGTCTCTTTCCCTATTCTCTTTTTTCACCATTCTGTCTTGGATAATGAATGGATTCATTCTTCCAACCAAAATTAGCACCTGCCTTCTGTTAGACCTTCTGCTAAACACTAGAAATGGATGAAAGACCAATCCCTGCCCTCAGGCCTTCTGGCCCAATGGGGACAGTATACAAGCAGATACATGTATTACGGTGGGCTGAATCCACACACAGAAGACGTGCCACCAAAACTTGGAAGAAAACCTACAACCTACAATGTAATAACAAATAAAAAGCTGATTTTAAATGGGCAGAGGATCTGAATAGACCTTTTTCCAAAGAAGTTATGCAGATGGCCAACAAGATCATGAAAAGTTACATGCTTAATACCAGTAATCATCAGGGAAATACAAATGAAAGCCACAATGAGATGACACCTTACTATTGCTAGAATGGCTATTTTCAAAAAGAGAAGAAATAACAAGTGTTTGTGAGGATGTGGAGAAAGGGAACCATTGTGCACTGTTGGTAGGAATGTAAATTAGTGCGTCCACTATGGAAAATAGTATGGAGATTCCTCAAAAAATTAAAAATAGAACTACATGACCCAGCAATTCCACTTCTGGGTATTTATCCAAGGGAAATGAAAACACAAACTTAACAAGATATCTGTACCCCCATGTTTGTTGCAGCATTATTTACAATAGCCAAGACATGGATGCAGCTGAAATGTCTATCAACTGATGAATGGATAAAGAAATTCTGGTGTATATATATGCAGTGGAATATTATTCAGCCAATAAAAAGAAGGAAATATTGCCACTTGTGACAATGTAGATGGACCTTGATGGCATTGTGCTAAGTGAAATGTCAAAGACAAATAGTGTATGTTTTCACTTATATGTGGGATCTAAAAAAGCCAAATTCACAGAAATAGAAAGGAGAATGGTAGTTGCCAGGAGAAGGGATAAATGAGATGTTGGTCAAAGGGTGCAAATCTACTTATAAGATACATAAGTTCTGGGAATCTAATGCACAGCATGGTGACCATATTTAATGACGCTGTATTATATGCTTGAAAGCCATTAACAGGGTAAATCTTAAATGTTATCCACAAAAAAAGGAAATTATGTGAGGGGATGAAAGTATTAATTAACTTTATTATAGTAATCATTTTGCAGTATATACAATATACCAAACCATCACATAATACACTTTAAACTTTTTGTTCTATGTCAGTAATATCTCCATAAACCTGGAAAACATGTTTATGACATCCATTTTTTAATGTATTTACATATATTAATATATTTTATGTTTTATATGGAAGTTCTGTTATATATATTTCTTATATAGAGAGAAAATATTTTATTTCATAATATGTTCACATAATATATTTGATTACACATGCACACATTTGTGTA